GGCATTAAAATAGATGTGCCTATATATGTGTGTGTATATATCTATCTATATATAAAATGAAGTTTGTACTGGAAACAGGGAAAATTATTAAAAAGATGAGCTATTGCAATAAATGGTAGTAGATCTAACATGACTCACTCTTCTTGGGGTTTAGCATTAATGAAGATTATTGCCCGACGGTCAGTAAGCTCTTGCATGCTTAGTTCTTCCAAAGACAAAAATTTTGCTCCAGGTTTTATCTACAAGAAAATTAGCATAAAATATAAGGTGTTTTGTTCAGTTAAAGATGCAGACAAAAAATGTATTTAAAAGAGTAATTTAAAATTCATAATCTTAAACCAAAGACTTCGTGAGAACTAACAAAGCTATTAAAAATATGTGAATTTTTTTCTTCTTAATTTGCATTTTCTTCATCAATTTTTCTTAGAAAATGTTGTTTATAAATAATTTAACCAGTAGTTATTGTCATTAAGGCATTCCAAACAGTTCCAGAATAAGTAAATGTTCCTGCCTCTGAAGGCTTTACAATACAGGATGGAATTTTCAAAGCAACCAAGTGCTTTAGGAGCAGGTATTTCACAGATTGTCAGTAAGACTGGTATTTCTAATTCATTTGGGTATTTTAAGAAGTCTTTCTCTGATTTAACCTGAACAAGTGATACTGGAGTCAGTCTTTATATACAAACACTTCTTTGTGAGAGAAAGGGTCATGGCTCAGGTGAAAATAAGAACTCTTTACTTCTTTATGTAAAAATAAACAAACAAAACGTCCATAGGTCATTCAGTGTCGAGTTAGTATTAAGTACACTGCAGGGAAAGAGACCAGAAGACCTAAAGTTTAAGAAAGGATCTGGAAAGGAACTAGGTCTGCACAGCTCATATAGGATTGGGAAGAAAATCACAACTAAGGGGTAGCATGAAGATGGTGAGATTTCATCCATGAAGAAAGATAATCAAAAGAGATCTGTGTAACAGCTGTGAAACTTCAGGACATGAAAACAGAGTATTTTCTGTAGCCAGATTCTGTTTTTTTGCTACAGTACTCTTTCTAAATTAACAGGAAAATTTTACTCTTTCTAAATAAGAGTAGCTATTTAGAATAGCTTACCTGACCACAGTCATAGAATCCATTAGTAATGATATTACTTGATGATAAATATCCCAGCCGGCTGTACTTTTGGGAAAGATTGTTATCAAGTAGCTTTTCCAGAGCAGCTTCACTAAACTTATTTTTACGCTTTATTGACAGATTAATTTCTTCTAGGATGTCTAAAGCACTGATAAATAAAATACAAAAGCAAATAAGCACTGGTAAATAAAACACAGTGGCTAATTCATTGTTGAATACTAATTAACTGTTATTATACAGTTCAGAGTTAGTTTGCAGCATGACCAAGGCCAAGACAAATTCACTTCCAAGTGCCAGCCCCATGCCCTCTTGGCCAGGACGGCTGTGCTGCACAGAATTTCTTCTCAAGGGGAGAAAAATGCCTTGCAATGCTCAAAAGCAAAAACAATTTCTTTAGGTAGTTAAATGCTGCATAAAGAAATGCAGACACGATGCCACAGCCTTTTATCAGAAGGATGTTCAGCACCACAGAGGACCTGAGGGGCAAAAGAGATGTAAAAGGAACAATGTTCAGAGCAGACCATATGACACAGTTCAGGCAAGCGCGCTCTCTCTCTCTCTCTCTCTCTCTCCATCTCTCTCTCTCTCTCTCTCTCTCTCCAGCTGCAATGCAATTTTCAGATTCCAGTTGTGCATTATGTGATGTGTGAATCCTTCTGGCCTAGGTGTCTCAGCACCACCAGAATGGCGGGATTTTTGCAGCATGGAGACAGAAACAAATAGCAATGTGAGGACATGGGAGGACAGGAATTAATTTCTTAAGCTGTTTCTGGTGCTGAAACCCACATACTGATAACTTCTGACCTGAAAAACTTAGGAAAAGCTCACTAAGAAGATAAAGGAAACTGAATCAGGAGAACATAGCATACTGCAGTTTTAGAACTGTTTACAAATGAAAAAAAGAAACCAGGAAAAATGATGATATATTTGTGTGCAAATATTCAAATTTATGTGTGTGGCTTTATGCAGACATTCTTCACATCTCAAGGAATGAATTTTATATATACACACACACATATTATATATATATATATATATATATATATAATGATCTCCATGTTTAGACTGCCCATTTCTCTCTGTGAACTACACAGGGAGCCTCAGCTGCAGACATTTACAAGGTAGACTTTGAAGGTACGTCAGATGAATTCCAGAGAACAAGTTTTTCAGGCAAAGCAAATGACAGCCTTCTCTTATAGAAGCGAGCAATGGGAGAAGATAGTGGAAGAGCAGTTCAGGCTATTTGTCTACAGCATATTGCAGATAAGCAGCAAATAATACAGGGAAGAATTTTAAAGGGGAAAATGAATAAAGAAAGGCTAATGTGTTCAACAGTGTCTAAACCAGATGACATTACAGGCACAATGGCACATTACCCTCATTTAGAGGAGAGACAAGCTAAAACTGGACAAATACAGTTGCACCAAAAATTCTGTGAAGAGCCAAAACCCAAAAAAAAAAAAAAATTCAAACAGAAATGGAAACACTACCAACAGGATAGAAAAAGTAAGGGACAAACCCAAAAGATGCACGGGCAAAGTGAGACACAACTGTTCAGGGACTGAAACAAATGTTTCATATGCTATGAGTCAGAGAGGAAAACGTAGGCCTATTACTCAATGTGGGAAGAAAACTCATAACAGATGGCACAGAAAATACTGAAGTGTCTGATGATCCCTTTTTTGCTTCAGTTTTCATAAAAAGGTTTCAGGCTGATGCCTGGCAGTAATATTAACAAGGAGGTAGAAACAGTAGTCTTAACATGTCTAGAGTAAGTTTGAGGAGACAAAGTTAGCAGTCCCTGAGGACACTTACCTCATACCACTCTACGAATTTGCAAAAGCGACATTGTAAATATTTATAATTGTATTTGAAAATTCTAGATGCCTGGAGAGTGGAGAAGGGCAAAGATACTATCTAGATTTGAAAAACTAAGAACAAGGAAATTATAATAGATATCATGGTACCAAATTTCAGTGTCCAAAGAAAACCATATCAAATTATTAAACAATCAGTTTGCAAACAACAGATGAGAAATAGCCATTATGTATTTGTCAAGAATAAGTCATGTAAAGTGAATGTAATCCTTGCTGTGATAGGGTGACTTGATGTATAGCTAGAAAAAGTAGATGTGAGATATGAGTTGACTTTGAGATATGTTTTGACTTTAATAAGTCTTTTCACATATTCCTACTTGAATACTCGTGAGCAAATCAAGGAAATATGATCTATATAAAAAAAACATGAAGTAGTGCCTGACTAGTTGAAAAACTATGCTTAATGTATTATTATCAATAATATCCTGTCAAACTGGAAGGACACATTACAATTAGAGTCCTACTTTGATACTGTAACAAAGAAGGGATTAAACAAGAACAGTGCCATATGCGAGATAAATAAAATAATTACTGAGCTTTATTTGATGGTGGTATGACCTCATCTGACGTACCTCATCCAGGGTGGGAGATGACACTTCAAAATGGTATAAATAAAGAAGAAAAATTGAGAGATGTGTAACAAAATGATAAAAGATTTCAAAATAAAATCAGTTTAACATTTTTATTTTGTCATGAAAAAGAAACTGAGAGAGGAACATGGAAAATGAGAAAATTCAGTAAGTTAAATTGCTATAAAAAATGGTTATTTCAATCCCATTGCAAGTAAGACAACATGTAGTTGGATTGATTTGCTATAAGGGATATTTAAACTCAGAAACCCCTTCTAATTGTAAGGATACTCCAGCACTGGAACAGGTTACCTCAGAAAGTTGTGAAACCCCATCAGAATCAGTATTTACACCAAACAAGCCAAAACACGTCAGTGTACCTTACTCAGTCTTACAGTAGATAGATGGATAACATCACCTTTGAGGTCCCATCATGATCTAAACTTTAGAGAGTCTCACTTTGCAGAATTCCCTCATAGAGGGATTTTAAGTATTCATGCAGTTATCAGAGAAGTGCCCAGCAGAGGGAGCAGGGCAATTACATATATTTTAATTTAACAGTAACTAAAAGTCACCCTGTCTGAGGAGTCCTGTGTCATAATTCTTATAACCTAAACTAGCTTTTGTAATTCAGATATTAATATATGGAACTGGGAGCTTCTAAGAAGGAATAAAATAGAGTCACTTTTACATGACACTTCAGCACACCTGCAGTTAACCAGAGATTGTAAATCAAATCTAGCCTGTGCATAATAAGTACAATTTACTGTATATTAAACTTAGTCTGAAACCTTTATTTCAGTTTGAAATGTATGGGGCACTGTAGTTCCTAATTTTGACTGATATAAGCAATCTTCAATCTAAAGCCTAATTCAGTCACAGAAACAATAAATGCTTTATAATTCCAGACAGTTCTCCCTACAGGCTTATATTTTGTCTGAAAACCTCTGTTCCTAAAAATCAATAGCATTTCATCCGTAACATCTGTGGTGCAAAAGTAGTTTCTGCTTACCAAAAAGCTTTGTTATTCTGCTATAAATACGTAAAGATTGGCTTAAATTGAGTTTTCACATCAAAAATTTCCTATTTCCACTCACCCTAGCCTGCATAGTTCAACAGCGGTTGGTTCATCACTTGCACAGACCGTAACAGCCCAACAGGCATTTCTTCGGACTTCTTCATTCTTAGAATGCAGCAGTTCAACGAGTGGTCCCAGTCCACCTGCATTTCTTAACTATGAAAAAGTGAAGACATTGCCACTTACCTCTTTCATCTATCCGAGCAAGAACAGCCTGTGAAATTCGCCTTCCAGACAACCTGTGCTGGGCTGGTAGAAAGGTCATTTATGGGTATTCTGTGTTCCCGTGAGCTCTGCATAGGCTGGAACTGAAGTGAGCTTCAGAGTAGTACAAGACAGACATCCCTTCTGGCTCTGCCTTACTCTTCAGTTATTAGGCTGCGGTGTGGAACCTGAAGAGACTATGCAACCCAAAACTGCCACAGAGAGTTACACAGCTTTTTCTGTGTTCTGTTGCCTCCCAGCAACTAATTTACATCACAATACATTTGAATCTGTATTGCATGCATGACAATCTTATTAACATCCTATTCTCTTGTGTGCTACAGTATCTTTCCTATACATGCTGGAGGAAATATTGCTCATTTGGATTTTTGAAGAGAAAGACATTTTAAGGACACTGAAAGAGGTAGATTAATTATCTGTGCCCCTTATTCATGTCCTAATTAACAAACCTGACCCATGAGAAAACCCCATCTTATGATTTATGAATGCACATAGCATCATTCTTCTTTATAAAAATACTATGACCAATTCATAAACAGCAAAGAGTTCAACTTGCTGGATGTCACTGATCAAGGGATTAATTATATTTTGAGTTTTGTCTGAATTACATTTAGTCCGTGCACATCCAATATCTCATTAAGCAAGGTCTGACATTGCCATTCAGGCTTTGAAAGTGGGCAACAGAACACTGAGGGAGAGTAAAGAGGACTGAACTTCTCGTGTTCAAAGTTCAGCTGAAAGAAACCTTTAATGTTCCTTAACATGGGGATCAAGATATAGCCCTGATAAAAGCTCATGGAAGCCAATGAAAAGCTGCAAAGCATTAATTTGGGGCAAGCAAACACAGTAGTGAAAATACAAATTAAAGAAAGCCCTTTCCAAAATCTCATGAAAAACTGAGCTTAAACTCAGTAGAACAAGCCTATGACAAAGATAAAGAAATCTAGAAAGCTCAAAACTTCTAGAACAGACAGATTCCAGGTTAATTTAACTCCGACCTCAGAATCTAGAAATGTTATCAATAATCACAACCTCAAAGAGTAGTTTTACCTCAGTTCTTGCAACAGCATCACAACCAAACGCAGCCACAGCGAACGCTGCTTTGCTCTGCACTTGGCTGTTGGTGGAGTGCAGTGGTTCCACAAGGGCACTCATGATCCCGTGGCTCTGGATGCTGACTCGGGATGACTCTTGCATGGCCAGATTTGTCAGCACTGTAACAGCATTGGCAACGGCTCCATCTCTCTGAGCACTCAAGGTATTCACTAATGGCTCAATTCCTTCAGCCTCAGCAACAGCACTAGCAAAATAAAGGAGGGGAAAAATATTTGTTATTTTAGGACCATCTTTCCTTCTTAGTGTGCTGTATTTACCAATTAAATTAGTATTATGTTTCAAGATTTAATTATGTATATATATGTGTGTGTGTGTGATTTATATATGACTCATGGTGTGAAGTTCAAGAGACACAACCTAAGCAGACAAACCAAGTCACAAACTTCTGGATTCTTTAAGTTACTACAGGATTCTTTCTGAGGTGTTGAACAAGTCAGTTAAATCCTGCATCTTCTTAAAGATGTATGATTTTTGTATTTTAGTTCCAGGCAAATGTTTCTGCAGACATTTATCACTTCTTGCCATAAACATTCTAGCACTACTTCTAATGAGGATTATAGTGCATGGAATGTCACATTTGTCTTTGTTCTGTCTCTGTAAATTTTTATTATCAGGTACCTAGGTAATATAAACATGGTCAACCAAGTTTCTGTCCTTCTTAGTGCAGTTCAGTGCAATGTAGGAATTACTGAGCTGGCTTTATACAAGTTAGACAGCAGGACAATAGCAGAGTCATCAGAACAGAGCTCAGGGCTGGCTATGACTGTGATTCCACATTAACTAGTCTATCAACAGCAGATCCAGTTTAAATGTTCCTTCTGTTCCCATGCATCCATGGTTGAAGGGTGCTGCCTCTCAGCAGAGCTGAGATGAATGCTCGTGTGGCCAAGTTCTAAGCTAGGCATGCAAAACTAACCATTTCCAAATAAAATTGGTGAGTTTGTTGGGATTTTTTTTCTAAGGATCATTTCACAGATTTAGGTTAGAAAACATCCAAGAAAAAAACCATAGCTGAAGAAGCACTACTAAGGAAATAGCAACTTCAGGCACAACACAGCAGAAGGTGCAGGGAGCTGCACTATTAGAGGATATATAATTTTACTTTGGGCTCATCTGTTAAACAAAAGTTGGCAATGGGAATGTGCAGATGGCAATTTGAATTTTCCCTGCAACTGCTTTTTATACCCTCTTTTAGTACATTTTACCTACATCAAAAACATAAAAAGCTCTTCAACGGAGGAGTGTACACTTTTTATAAATTTTGCTACATTTCTCTGGACACATTAAATAAAAAGAGAAATCTGCATGTAAACATCTTTTATTGTAACAGCCTCTTACCAAAATCTGACTAACCTTTTGATAAGTTTCACAGTTACAAAATAAACACAAGCTTAGAAGTATCACATATAAAAGAAACCATTATACTATCAAAGACTGCCGGGGCACTGATGAAAACTAAAAACCATCAGGAAAGCTGATAGTCACACTCCTATGCAAACAGGACAGAAAGCAGAATACATGCCAGCCTTTGCTATGTAATCCCATTACATGGGCAACATAATGTAGATCTTACTGTGAACTCATGTTGGTGCAAGTATTTCCAGACTGTCACAGAGGGGGATGCAGGTGCTCCTGAGCATACCTGGAAAGAATCAGCAGAGGCTAATGGGGTTTGTCACTCTGATCTCTGCCTCAGGTACAAGGCCATGGAAGCTCACAAATAGTGCTGGTGCATGGATCTAAGGAAGGCTGGCAGGCAGTAGTTCCCTCTTTGGAAAACCAGGGAAAAGGCAGCAATCCAGGAACTGAAGGTGAGCGAGCTTATTAGCTTGGGTGTGTGTTAAGATATAGGGTTAGTTTGGTGTTGGCTAATGAATCCATCTGGAGCACCAGTAGCTTTAATGCAAGCACTTCAATCTCTGTTCAGAAGTGAGCCCCATGTTTTCAGATGTCCCACACTACACTCCTCTGACTGTCTTCAAGTAGCTGGATTTCCCTTTACCTTCCTTCCTTGACCAGATGAAGAAGATGTAAAAATGTTTTGTTTGGTGGGTTGCTTTTTTGTTGTTGTTGATTTGGTTTGGGTTTTTTTACTTAGGTAAGGCCCCTGAATTTCTAGGTTCTTTGGTTAATACTGACTGTCTTCTCTTTGCCATGAAATTTTATCCAAATTTCCAGCTTCAGGACTTTTGTAGCTCTATCCAGGCTGCTGTATATGAAAAAATCCTGGACATGTTGATTGCACATGTAAGAATCAGCTACCCACCACATGTATCACGGGTTTGCTGGAAAACATCACACTCACAGCACATTTAACAATGTCACAATGTACCAGCTGGCAAAGTGTGGGAGAGACTCACATACATGCACATGGCCATACACAGTAAGGCATGTCCATAAAGTATCAGATTTACAGCATCACACAGTACATACACACATATCTTATGCAGGAAGGAAAAACCCCAAAAAACCAAAACCAAACAGTTTCTCCTTTACGACGGATACAAAGAAATTCCAGGATTTATGGGACAGATTAACTACTCATGAAATGCATCACTACATCTCACAGGTGTAGTATATCCAATACTTCTGCAGTAAGTACAGGACTTACTATTCCAATACTGCACCCAAGAACACATGTATTCTCCCACAGGAAATCCTAGTAAACATATTGTCCCTCACAGACTGGTTACAGAATGATACACAGCACTGAATGACGTAGCCAATCACATTATAAGCAGATTTACTATAATTTCCATAAAGACAGCAAGTACACAAGCACTTAACAAAAGAGCAAGGTGACAGCTCCTCGTGTGTTCAGAGCTGACCTCAGCGAGGTACAGAGCACACCCAATTTTCTCAAGTGCCACTCAACTTCAAAAAGGTTGAGAACCACTGATTTAGAAGATCATACATATTTATTTCAGATCTGTGTTCTGCACAGACTCATTCTGAATCACAGTTTCAGGAGTATAGTTTAATCAAGTAGAACAACTGATCACAAGGCAAAAAGATTTTGTTACAAGTGACAACAGCAGGGAACAGGAGCTGAAGGTAACCAGTACCTTTGAGAATATGTTTTTAAGAGGCCATGAACATCTGGGGCCAGTGCTTTGTTCTGATAACAGGGAGACATATACAAGAGATTCTGAGGGAAGAAGGAAGAACGGGGAATCCACAGTTCAACTCAATCCTACTCCACAGCCCTCTGGAGAACACAGAAATAGCACTGTCACCCTGGGCCACGGAGCCTGACCTCAAAAGGGAGATGAAAGAATGAACATGCTTAAGTTCTTAAGGTGCTGAAATAATACAACATTAAGATCTAACTATGGAGGTACTTGTTCCTTTCCTTCCTGGGCAGAGGCATGGATGGTGTAATTCTTTTATTATAAGGCAACAAAAGTTGGAGAAAGTTTTTACCAGCACTGTCTTTGCTTAACGCAGATCAGCCGTAGCCTCCCTCCCTGCCTCCAGAACACTCTCCTTCAGACACATCCTACTGAGATGGTGCACTTTATCAGTGTTCCCACTACAGAACTACATCCTCAAGGAAGAAGTGTGCCTTGGTTTAGCTGGAAAATAGTGTTCACTTTTTGATGTGGAAAAGGAGTAAATTATATAAATCCACAGGAGTAAATTATATAAATCCACAGGATTTTTTCCCCTCCATGTTGTGTAAATATTCAAAATACATTAACTTTCCTAAATATGGAGAAAAAAGGTTAGGTTAAAGGAAAGAAGAAAATGACAAGAGGGAAAAAAAAAAGATGTTAAATTTGCAACATCCCCAGTTTTTGTTCAAAAGTGGAAGCTGTCTATTTGAAATACAAACAACAAGAAAAACCAGACAAGATAGGTGTAGGAGTTGCAGAGCTTAAATTACTTTTAAAATAATTCAAATGTTTTGAATTATAAGCCCATATTATGATCATTAGAATGCCTAACCCATCATGCATTTACTTTAACCCTAAGGACCTTAACCAGGCTCTTTAGTGAAACAGTAAAATTCTGACTACAATTGGATTCAAATGACTGTATTCAAGAATAGGTAAAATATTTTTCCCAACTGTCATTGGAAAGTCAAATATTAAAAGGTCAGATAATAAATATTTAATTTATTAATTTTAAATATACATTGTAACACATTATTAACAGATATTCTTGAACATTCTTTAAAAGATAATTTAAGACTAAAAGAATAAATGCTGAAAAGTGAAAAAACCAAACATTTTCTTTACTGCTTTTACTGTAAAAATAAGTTAAATGTTGTAAATAAAATCATTACCAAAAGTTTCACAATACAAACTTTTTTTTCAGCAGATACTTTGGAGATTTATACGAATGTGACTGAACTGAATATTTTGTTGCTTTAGGTGTCTGGGGTGCAACAGGAAAGTTCCGATGTTGTTAAGAGTGTTGTGAAAACAATAATCAGTAAAAATTTGACCAAAACTCTGTGGGTTTATTTTATTTTTAGGACTGTAAGCATTTTAGGGCATGAACCACCTCTTTGTTGGCATCATAGTAAGCATAACAGTTCTGGTCTGTGACCAAGCCTTCTAGCTATGGCAAGAAAAATAACAGATTATTTACTTAGTGCATAGGGAATGGTCCAGCTAGCTTTTCCTCCTGAAAAGAGGTCTAGCCTAAGGGAGAAAGCAACTAATAGTGTTCAAAGAGCTGCCAGAAACTCTTGAGACTGCCCTCCAAACCTCCAACCTGAACGACCTTCCAGGGAGGGGAGATAGAGGGGAAGAGCAGTGATGCAGTTTGACACCACTGTTTGCTCTGCATTGTACTGAATTTACACTGGTGAGATTGACACTTCATAAAAATGATAAAGTATGTTTGGTATTGCTTCTTCTACCACAACTGAACATAAACTGGTTTATATTAAATTATATTTTTATTCACTTCTATGCTGTTTACTCCCCCCTTCCGACTGAGGATTTAACATAATTTCTGCTCAGAAAAAATTCAGATTTTTCCTCCTCACAAAAGCCATTGGACTCCTTAGGGACTTCATTTTTTTCAAACGTGTTTTCAACTGCATGTTTAATTTCTGTGTAAAATTACTGTGATTGTGTGTGAGGTGCTTAGCTAGCCATTTATGGCTGTGCATATCTCATTTTCATACATAATTGCATGTAAATTATGCATAAGAATTATGCATCTAATTACACATACATTTTTTAAAATCAACTCTATCTGTTGTTAAATCGCATGACTTCTTTTTTCACACATGGCATTTTTGATCCAGCTCTCTTATGCAATTTCTGAGAAACAATATCATAACCAGAAGTTTGAAAAACCTTCAAGAAATAGCTTCCTTTTAATCCCTTAAATGTATTAGTACTCTTCATTTGCCTTGTTATGCCAGCAGAATATGCACATCCAATAAATGTCTTCTGCATTTAGCAAAAATTTCACTTTGTGATTTAATTATTTTCAAAAGCAATTGACTGTTGTATGTAGTCACCTGTGTTTTATTTAAAAACTAATATTACTTCCGTTTTCTTCACTATACAAGGGAAATTAATGTCAGTATGTTTATTCTGAGTAAGAGAACCTAGCACAGGAGACTCTGATCTACAATTTGAGGCCCCTTTGTGCTCCAATAAAAATACTGATGATATCAACGAACCATATTAATTTTTCATTTCAGGAACTGAACCTTCTATTTCTATTTTATAATGACAAGTAGCTTGTTAAAACATCAACAAACCCAAAACTCAATAAACCTCACAGTCTGGAAGCAATAAAACCTTAAACTGTCTGGGTTAGCAGAGACTTAATACCTGACTCTCATTTAGCAACTCACAGAGATATTCTAAGGTCTATCACTGAATTCATCTGACAAAGTTACATAGATTTCAGTTCTAAAACTGCAGTATACTTAATTTAAAATATTACAGGCACATTGGTAATGAGCTATCTGTTCATGATATCTAAGACTTTCAACTATAATATTATTTGCAACCTTTTTTAAGAATTTCTGACACTTCCACTATTATGTGGAAGGCTTGAGATTCAGCAACAAAATCTCTTTTTACTCCTGAAAGATCCCATGTACCTTCAGTCAGGATAAGCTAATGAAAAAGACACCATCCTCCTCTCTCTTTTTTCTGATCCAAGAAGTAGTGCATGCAAAAATGAGTAACTCAGCACAAATATTGTGAGCCTGGAGCCCACACTGTTACAGTAGCAAAATAACAGGGAATATGCAGGTGTTGCCACAGCAACCTTCATGGAGGTGTAAGGGAAGGAAGGAAAATGCCAAATCAGGGTCCTCACAACAACTCTTCTGAACACAGGGAATGAGAATATGGTGGCTTTTCTTCGTCTTCGGGAGCAGCAGCTGAGGAAGGACAAAAAAGCTGTGCCAAGTCAGTCTCTACACACAGTACTTTGGACTGTGAAACCTGACACCGTCTTTCACTTCTGGATAACTCTTTTCTGGATAACACTGAACTTATCTCAAATGTCAGGAGACTGTTTTGCCTTGCTAAAAGCTCAAGCTCTTACAGTGATTCAGAGGGGAGAAATCTATGCTTTTAGTTTTCTCTCTTAAAATTACATCTCTAAGAAAATACACATATACTACTATGTTAAGATAAAATTACTGAGGCTGCATGTCAAAATGCTAAAGTTACTTGTGAAAGCTTACTTCTACCCTCTTATGTATAAGACAGTCCGAGTAGACAACATGCCACAGGTTAAATTCACAGCATGGTCAGCCATAACCCTGCAATTCCCTAACAGACACTTAAAATAAACAAATTCACACCACAGTAAAGTTAAAACGTACACTTAAATAATTTGCATTTAATTTAGAAATATACTACAAAGAAAATGCGCATGCAAAGCACCAATAAATTTGTCTGAAATTTACTCATAAGTAAAATAACCCTTACCACTTTAAATTCATAAAAAGTGTAATTTATCTCAGTGCGTGCCACTGAATGTCACTGCAGGGATACACACTCAAGGGTAATCATTGTACTTGTGCCACTAGATGAAAGAAAGTTTTCTCTCCCAGGTTTAGAAGTCTCCATCGGAGAAGAAGAATGTTTCACCTGATCCCATAGAAATCTACCATGGGAAGTTATAGGTCCTCCAAGTGACATGGAAGTTACATATGCTCCAAGTGAAATTCCAGCCTTCCATGGCTAAGATAGTGATCATACTGCAAGGCTTAGAAGGTAGGGGAGTACCAACAGCCCAGAAGATTTTGCTATATTAACAAGGACTTGAATTTCTACATAGTTATCATTACCCCAATTCAATTCAAAGTGTTCTGTTTTCTGTCTGAACCTATTTTGGATATACTTAGGTTCCCATCCACTTCAGGATGCAGTGACATGAGATCTGTGTTAGATAGAGATGAATGCTCTGTATTGGTCTTTGTCTTCAGTTGCCTGATAGGCAACAAAGTTAAAAACAACAGCAACAAAAACCCAGGAAAATGCATAACAATTTTGTTTTTTTGTAAAGAAGAACTGTACTGAGACCAAAACAGCTACAGTGTCTGACAGTACAGAGGGACTTTTCCATACAGCCACACTTTCACAAATGTAAGAGAAAAATACAACAGCTGGCTGTACAAAACAGCAGGGCATGATTCAGGGTACTGTCCATGGGTTGTGTATCAGTCATCTGATGTGATGTTAAAGTCTTAGAGGGAACACATTTCTGAATGACATCCCAGCATTAGGACTTAACTCAGTTTTTCTGTCAAGGGAAAAATTTACCATAAAACATTTTGCAGTTTTCAGTGGAACAATACATAAATGACTGTGTTGGTTTTTTATTTATTTTTTATTAGAAAGTATCCCCCACACTATGGATATACAGTAAGAGAAAAGAAAAAGAGGAAGCTGTTCATGGCATGACATAACTCTTTGTATTTTACAGGCTGCAGCAGAATGAATGCTAATATAAAAAATAATAGCACAAACCACAAAACCCAAAAAAATCCCTTTACCTTGCAGCACATGAGCTCAAAAATATAATTCTGACACTAGGGGTCAGTATTAAAACATATTACATCTACACAATACCGCCAGCAGCATTCTATTGTTGATTTCCTCCTTCAAAAAAAACCAACTTATGTCATAAAGAACTATAAAACCATAAAAAAGACAAACCCTATAGTAGATTACCACCTATTTATGTTATTAAATGTAGCTCTTGTGCTAGAAATTTGTGTTCCTGTTCTCATAAATTAACACATATATTCATGCAAATGTATTACCTTACGTAATATCCACGCTTCAATATTTATATGAATTAGGTTCCATCTACAGTCTTGAAAGAGAAAAGCTATTATTAAGTTTTCCATTTTTTAATAGGGAAGATTACTACCTAATGGTATTACTACCTAATGGTAGTA